TATATATATATATACATATACACATACACATATACATACAATGGAATATTACTCAGCAATAAAAGAATAAAATTATGGCATTTGCAGGTAAATGGATGGAGTTAGAGAAGATAATGCTAAGTGAAGTTAGCCAATCCCAAAAAAACAAATGCTGAATATTTTCTCTGATATAAGGAGACTGATTCATAGTGGGGTTGGGAGGGGGAGCATGGGAGGAATAGACGAACTCTAGATAGGGAAAAGGGGTAGGAGGGGAAGGGAGGAGGCAAGGTGGGGTAAAAAAAGATGGTGGAATGAGATGGACATTATTACCCTAAAGTAAATGTATGAAAACAAGAATGATGTGAATATACTTTGTATACAAACCAGAGATAAGAATAATTGTGCTCTATATGTGTAATATGATTTGTAATGCATTCTGCTGTGATATATAACAAATTAGAATAAAAAAATCAAAAAAAAAAAGAACAACTCCTTGTTGTTCTTTCCCTTTCTCCCCCATCTCCCCTGCTGTACTTGGAAGGCTTCGGTTACCTCCTACTGTGACATTGTGCAGTGACATCTTGACTTCTTTTTACTACTGGTACCAGTGTGTTCTGGAAAGCCAGGGAAGCTTCTCCAGACCCTGCCTGAAGGATTGGTGCTGGGATAGGAGAGGAAAGAGAGATCAGTCTGACACTCCTAGGGGGTTTCCGTAAGCATCCTGCACACCCTGTTCCCTGTCCCTATGGGTGAGGTGAGGCACAGTCAACAGTTTGGGCATGACTCTAGTGCAGGCGCGCCCTGCTCCCCATCAGCCCTCTAATTTCCCATCTCACTCGCCCTGCCCAGCACAAATGCATCCTGCTGTCACATATAACAAATTAGAATAAAAAATTTTAAAAAAGAACAACTCATAGCTGATTATGTCTGGCAAGACTTTTATTTATTGCACTCTTTCTTATTGATTAGGGAGAATTTTCAAGATTTTTGTTGACTTGCCTGTTTCTAGTGGTTAGGGCACACTTTTTTTTTTTTTTTTTTTTTTTTTTTTGGTACTTGGGATTGAACTCAGGGGCACTCAACTACTGAGCCACATCCCCAGCCCTATTTTGTATTTTATTAGAGACAGGGTCTCACTGAATTGCTTAGCACCTCGGTTTTTTGCTGAGGCTGACTTTGAACTTGTGACCCTCCTGTCTCAACTTCCTGAGCTGCTGGGATTACCACCTGCACATTAGATAGAGCACTGTGCACCACTACACCCAGTCACACTTAAATTTTAAACATAATTTTGGGCCCTCAGAATTGAAAAACAGTCAAGCAAACAAAAACCAGTGATAAAGCTTAAGGCTTTCTGGTTTATAAAGTAAAGCCCTGGCTTCCTGGGGTAACTGAGTGTGTTCGTTTTCCTGCTGGCTCCAGAGAACATTTTCAGTGGCTCCCAACTACTTATACCTCATGCTACATACCTCTTTTCTCTACCCCTCCCCACTCTTAAGGCAGCCAACCTCCTCTACTAAAAAACAACTTTCCCTTTATTTTTTTCCTGGATTGCCTACCACTAGTTCATTCTGTAAGGAAGAAAAGACAAAGAAAAGAACAGTGGACCTTCAGTATCCCTTGGAGATTGGACCTAACTCCTAGTACACCAAAATTCAAGGATGTTCAAATTCCTTACATAAGATGGTGTAGTATTTGTGTAGAACCTATGTACATCCTCCTACATGCTTTAAATCAATACAATGTAAATTGTTGGTATGTTGCATTATTAGGGGATAATGACAAGGAAACATGTTTGTACAGGTTCAGTACAGACTGTTACTTGAATCTGCAGATGCAGAACCTGCAGATGAGGAAGGCTGACTATAATGTCAGGCAATATGCTAGTTTACTAATATTTAATAAATTATAAAGCAACTTTTTATTTTCCACATTAGAACATTTCTTTACTTAGAGGGCATTTCCAGTAGTATGACACATAGCATGCCTTACAGTGATTTTTTTTTAAAAAACTTAGTTACATATAATTTTAGTGCATCAATGGAATTTTAGTTTGGATATTAGTTTTGATAAAACATGAAGATTAATAATAAAAGAACATACATGTCATTGACTCTTCAATAGTTTGAAGGTCTATTAATGTAACAGGAAAATAAACCCAGTGTGGTTTTGTGTGGATGTGAGTGGTGGAGTACATATTTTAATATAAATTTCACTTCTAAGACAGTACCTCTTGGACTATGATCCTTCTGGTTTCTGTCTTAAACAAGGTACCTTTTGTCAAATAATCTGAACCAAATCTCACGCAGATTTTTCTTTAACTTTGAAATAAACGCAGGAGAAACTTTGGAGGAAAGACAGGTAAAGAATGAAGAGTCATGCAGATTTTTGATGATTTAAAATTGAAGACAGCCTGTAAACTACAGAAACTAAAAGTTCAAGCTACTTCCTGAGACAGAAAAAAATCTTAACCACAGCCAAATTGCTAGTGACATTTATTAGTTTCCTTAGAGAAGATTTTGGTATGGCCTCTTCCATCTGCCTAAATAACTACAGTCGGATTGGCAAGGGTGGGACTGGGGACAGCTGGTGGGACAAGCTCCTGGGTCATGACATGAGGGGGGTGGGGCAGCAGGACTCTGGTGCTAGAAACAGTACCTCCCACCAGGTTCTGTCCCAGGCTCAGGCTAAGTTTTAAGACCTCTTGCTAAGCAAAACAAGGACATCAGATTTTAGTAAAACACAAAAGGAGGTGAGACACCCATAATTTTTCCATAAAGTCATCGCCAGCGCAATAAATGGATGGGGGGGGGTCAACTCTCTAGGGCAGATAACTGGTTTGCTCTGAGTGGAAACACAAGCTAATCACCCAATATATGCAGAATATCGTGACATTATGTCATCCCTTCCCACCCAAGAGGGGCCCGCTCTTGGGTGGGGCTGCGGGGTCGCTGGAGCGCAGGAGCGCAGGAGCCAAAATGCCCAGGACAGGGAGGCTGGGCAGGAGGAGGCGGAGTCCGGGAGTGAGGCAGGAACAGGAGGGGGATTCCGGGAACTAACTGCAGGCACAAGGCCTTGGTTCTGCTGTAACCGGCACCTGCGGCCTCCGCCGCGACCCGCCGCCCGCGCCTTACCCTGGCAGTTCGCCCCGCGGTGCGGCTCCGAGACGCTCCCCTCCGCCCACTCCCGGCCGCGGTCGGCGCCGGGGTTCGGCTCCCGCGGCCGCCAGGGCACTGCTGGCGATCCCGGGGGCAGTGTCAGCAGGCGACCTCTTCTGACGGGCGCCGACTAGGCCGGCGTGGGGCAAAAGCGGTCCGGAGGCCGGTGGTGGCCCGCTGACGGCGCTGGGGAGGGTCACCTGCGCGGCCCCGGCTCTCCTGGCCGCCGGGCGAGTGGAGCTGACAGCCGGGGAGCGCTAGCTGCAGTCTCCGGACGCGGGGCGGGGACTCCGGGCTGACGTGGGCGGGGCCGGGGCGGGGCTACCAGATGAGGTCATTTGCATCTGCTGCTCACTGTCCCAACCTTTGCTCGCCTGGGTCAAGGGCGGTCCACCGAGGAAGGGCTGATGGATTCCTGTCTGTTTCGTTTCCTGCAACGAAGTCATCGCCAGCGAAATCAATGGACAGGAGGGCAGATAACTGGTTACGAATATCACCCAATAAAGGCAGAATATCTTGACATTCTGTCATCCCTTCCCACCCAAGAGGGATCCGCGTTCCCCGGGGCTAGAGCGGTGCACTCACAGACATTCAGCACAAACGTGTTGAATGAATGAATCAGGGAAATGGATCCTTTCCTGTCCCCCAGCCCCCAACTTAAAGCTAGTGCTCCCCGGCTTCTAGCTTTTCTCACTACTTTTAAAAACCTATCTGATCATGATTCTCCAGTCAACAAAACAGGGATTAAAAATACCTACCATTCAGTTGTAAAGACTTGGCAGGTTGGGGGTTTAAGAAGGCCTTTGTAGACATCGTTACCCACCACCCTGATCCTCAGTGTGTCTTTCTTTCATGCTCCTACCCACGCTCAGCCCCCGCTTCTCAAGATGTTTCAGAGTAGGTGGACGGGAAATACAATATTAGTTCGTTTACCTGATATTATATCCTTTCAACTTCCAAAACAGAACATGAGGCAGCTTTCGGTAACATGTAAGTATATTCTGGCCTGGCGCGATCGTGCACCCCTGTAATCCCAGGGACTCAGAAGGCTGAGGCAGGAGGATCACAAGTTCAAAACTGGCCTCAGCAACTTAGCAAGGTCCTATCTCCAAAAAAAAGGTGGGGGGCACCAGGGATGTGGTGGTTAAGCACCCCTAGGTTTGCTCCCAGGTACCAAAAAAAAAGTGTATGTATATTCTAAATATTAAAGATATGAAAATGAAAATGTTAAAATCATTTCCAAGAAGAGGAGGGAAATGTTATAAACCTAGCCTATGATAATTAGGCTTTCACTTTTACCTTCTGGTGACTGAGGAAAAAGAGAACTCCTCCTTTTCAGATTATGCTTCATAATTTTTGTAGATGGAATAAAAAGGAATATTTTCATCTGTGGAGTCTAACCTTGGCTGATACTCCTTTGTAGGCTAGGAACAGGGGTATTCATAAAGTGAATGCCACCGCCCTACCTATCGTGTAACGCTGGGCAGAATTCCCACCAATCCCACAAGATTGAAGGGAACTCATTTGGGATCTTGATTCCTTACAAAAGACATTCAACATTGACAATGTTTTCAGCCACCCTTTTAGAGAAGTTTCAAAAATATCCTCTGTAAGAGGGAGAAAGACAATCCCAAACTCCATGTACCCTTTTATATAAACATATATATTAATACAGAAATATGTCAAAATGTTAACTATGATTAATTGGAGATGGGGCAAACAGATCAATGAAACAGAAGAGGGAGCCTAGAAACAGACCCACACAAATAGTCAACCGATCTTTGACTAAATAATAAAGCAATTCAATGGAGAAAGGATAGCCTTTTCAACAAATGGATCTTAAGTGTCCCCCAAGGTCCTAGTGTTAAAGGGTTAGACCCCAGCTTGGTGCCATTGGGAGGAGGTGGAAAGTCTAAGGGGAAGGGCCTATTGGGAGGTCTTAGGGTCACTGGGGGTGTATCCATGAAGGAGATCATGGACTCCCTGTCTGGTCTTCTTCCTCTCTCTTTCACTTCCTGGTCATGAGGTGAACAACTCTGGGCTTCCTGCTTTGATGTGCTGCTTACCACAGACCCAATAGCAATGAAGCCTCCATCAGGGACAATAACCTTGGAAACTAGAAGCCAAAATAAACTTTTTTTTTCTTGTTAAGTTACAGTTCCAGAAAGCTAACACTCACAAATTGGATATGCAAAAAGATGAATCTAGACACAGATTTCACATTTTCCACAAAAACTAACTCAAAGTGGATCACGGGCCTAAATATAAAATATAAAACTTGAAAACAACTACAAGATAACACTGGGGAAAATTTAGGTGACCTTGGGTTTGGTGATGACTTTTTAGACACCACACTGAAAACACAATCCTTGAAAGAAAAGAAAAGAAAAAAAAGATAAATTTGGCTTAGTTTTAATTAAAAACTTCTTCTTTGTACGGACACTGTAAAGAAGAAAAAGTCAGACTATAGACTGGAGAGTGGGAGAAAATATTTGTAAAACACGCATCTAATAGAGGGCATGTATCCCAAATATACAAAGAACTCTTAAGGTAAGCATAAACAACCCAATTAAAAACTGGGGAAGGAATTTGAACAGACCTTTCATCAGAAAGACAAGAGATGAAAAAATAACATATAAAAAGATTCTTGCTGGGCATGGTGGTGCACACCTGTAATCCCAGTGGTACAGGAGGCTGAGACAGGAGGATCACAAGTTCAAATCCAGCCTCAGCAAAATTGAGGTGCTAAGCAACTCAATGAGACCCTGTCTGTAAATAAAATGTAAAATAGGACTGGGGATGTGGATCAGTGGTCGTGTGTCCCTGAGTTCAATCCCTGCTCTCTGCCCCTCCCCCACAAAAAAAGAGATTTTTAACATTGCACATCATTAGAGAATTACAAATTAAAACAAGGTTTGCTGTGCCCCTATTAGAATGTCTAAAATCCAGAAGACTGACAACCCCAGATGTTAGTGAAGCTGGGAAGCAACAGGAACTCTCGCTTCTTGCTGGTGGGAATGCAAAATGATACAGTTACTTTAGAAGACAGTTTGACAGTTTCTTAGAAAGCTAAAACATCTTACTTTGTCCTCCAGAATCATCCATTTACATGTTCAGGCGGAAACCTACACATAAACATTTATAGCAGCTTTATTAATAATTTTTGCAACCTTGAAACAATCTTTGCAACAATTATTTTACAAACTTGAAGCAACAATTGCTTCAGCATTGCAATGATTGTTTCTTCAATAGTTAAATGGGTAAGCAAACTGGGGCACCTCTATACAATGGAATATTATTCAATAATAAAAAAGAGATGAACCACTAAACCACAAAAATACAGGGAGGAACCCTAAATGTGTACCACTAAATGAAAAATAATCAGTATGAAAAGGCTACGTACTATATTACTCTAATTCTATGGAAATCTGGGAAACATCAAGCTATGGACATAGTGAAAAGTTGAGAAAAAAACTCAGTGGTTTCCTGGATTTCAAGGTGAACAGGATAGAGATGAATAAGTGGAGCCTAGGAGAGATGGGTGACAATCAATCTTTCGTAGGATTCCATAACGATGTCTACATGTCATTGTACATTTTCCAAAACCTCTAGAATGTTTGACACCAAGAATGAATCCTGATATAAACCATATGACTTTAATTCCTAATAATGTATCAATATTGGCTTGTCAGTTGTAACAAATATTCCATTCTCATGCAAGATGTTAGTTATGAAGAAAACTGCATGGAGGGAGATGGGATATATGGGAAATCTCAGATGTCTATAGTCAAATTTTTTTTCCTGTAAACAGAATGCACATCTGCTTCTTCCCTTAGTACATATTTTCCTAGCATCTCCCATGCCAAGCTCTGCTGAAGGTGTTGGAGACAGTGTGGGCTATATGGTACAGAAGGAGTCACTATCCCCTCACACTCTAGTGGGTATGGCGATGCCTATGCAAACCCTGGAGTGCACAAGTTAATTTCAGGATGACATGAAGGCAAAGCGACAGGTGATAAGCTGCAGAGGGCCTGGGAAAGCGGAGGACATGAGACAAGGCAGTGTGGAAGGCCCTCCCTCCACGGAGGACCCCTGAGCTGAGACCTGAACAAGGACCATCCTGGGGCTGTGGTCCACAGGGCTGGGCTGGAAGAAAAGCAAATGCTGAAGTCCAAAAGGCCCAGCCAAGGAGGAAAGGAAGGAGTCCTCTGTGGGGTTGGGGTGACTTGTCCCTTGGGCTTGAGCAATGGTTGGATGGAGTATCATGTTTGACATGAGAGACTGAGGGAGCTAAAGTAGGCTGTTGGGACAAGGGTACGTATTTTACTTTATTTTATTTTTTAATGAATAGGTTGTATTTTTTTAACCTTTATTTTATTTATTTTTATGTGGTGCTGAGGATGGAACCCAGGGCCTCACACGTGCTAGACGAGCGCTCTACCACTGAGCCACAATCCCAGCCCAGTTGTATTTTTTTTTTTAAGATCAGGTTTCAGTTTATGGAAAAAAATGAGTGGAAGATAGAGTTTCCATATAACTCCTTTTAATATCCTCCTCTGCTCTGCCCTGACAATTTCCTATTATTATATTAACATTTTACATTAATGTGGCACATTTGTTACCATTGACGAACATAATCCATACATTATTATTAACTAAAGTCCATGGTTTACAGTAAGTTTCAATGTTGTTATTGTATGCTCTGTGATTTTTGCCAAACATATAATAACAACTGTATTACTATATTCCACAGAAGAAGAGATTTTTTTAATATTTATTTTTTAGTTGTATTTGGACACAATACCTTTATTTAATTAATTTATTTTTATGCAGTGCTGAGGATGGAACCCAGGGCCTTGCACGTGCTAGGTGAGTGCTCTACCGCTGAGCCACAACCCCAGCCCCCACAGAACAGTTTTACTGCCCTAAAAATTCTCAGTGTTCATTTGTCCTTTCTCCAACTCCAGGCAACTATTGACTTTTTCAAAACTGTCAATTTTTGCCTTTTCTAGAATGTTATCTATTTGTAATCATACAGTATATGGCCTTTCTATAGTGACTTTTTCACTTAGCAATATGTATTTGAGGTTCTTCCATGTCAGGTTGTGGCTTGACAGCTCATTTTAGTGCTGAACAATATTTTATTGTCTGAACAGTTTGTGAATTATTCACCCGTGGAAGAAAATCTTGTTTGCTTTCAGTTTGAACAATAATGAAGAAAGCTGCTATAAATGTCCACATGCAGGATTTTGTGTGAATATGTTTTAAATTCATTTGGT